CGCTCAGTAAATGGTTCCACAGGGACATCTGATCCCCTACGATCTGGGTTAAGAAATGGTGTACTGTATTGCTGGCAGCTCAAAAGCACTCTCATGCCAGTCACTCTTGTCTTCCACCTCGGCCAATCTAACCACTCTTGTGACTTTTAACACTTGAGATAATCCCGCCTGTTTGTGAACGCATTACACGTACGTAGAGATCAGTACAGTACATATTTTACAGTACATATTTTATAATCTGGGTTTCTCTTAGTTTTTCAGTTAGGCTTTTCTCCTTACTATTGACTTCTGTCGTGCTGTGTAGCTGAATTTCGTTTCTTTGCCCTTCCTGCGTGGCATTTTGAATTGTATGACAATGCCACAATTTATTCATACCTTTTATTTCTAATGGACTCTTCAGTAGTTTCCAGTGCTGGAGTGTTAGTGTTATTATTGTGGTGCACGTTCACAAGGATGTCCTTTGGTTGACATGCTTATGCATTTAAGGCTGTGCTTGCAGGACTGCTTTGATTACTTTTTCTTCCTTCATGGCACTGTAAGTGGTGACGGTGGATGTAGCGGTTTGTTTTTATTTATTTATTTATTTATTTATTTATTTATTTTTCCTGATCTCAGAGGGAAAGCTGTCAACATGTCACCAGTAAGCATCGTTGTTTTCGGAGGCTTTTAAAAATATTCCGGACTGAATCAAGAGCGTTCCCTTTTATTTGCAGTTGGCTAAGAGTTTTTATCATAAGTGCGTGGTCATTTAAAAAAATCAAACCCATGAAATACCCTTCCTGCATCTGTAGGGAATATCCTATTTTTTCTCTTTCACACATTACTTCTGAGAGATAGATTTTTCAAGCGGCTGAACCGCTTCATTTCTAGAATACTCGACTTGTTTGTGATACGTTTTCATTTTTGGAGATTTAACTGATTTGTTTTGCTAATGCTTTATCCAAGATTTCTTCTTCTGTGCTTATGTGAAAGATAGGCCTGTGCATTTCATTCTTACCATGCCCTTTAAGTTTTGCGAATTAATCGGTGGCGGCATCAGAGTCTGTAGGTTCTTGTGGCTGCTGCTGTTGTTTCCTTCAGATTCCGCCCGTTTAGAATTTGTAGGACAATTCAGATGTTTAGTCTGTTTTCTGTCATTTTGTTATCCAAAGTATCACATTTGTGGGCATAAAGCTGTTCATGATTTTGAATAATGATCTCTTTAATATCTTCGTTGCCCATAGTGATGTTTTCTTAGCCACTCCAGACACTGGTTGCTTCATTATTTCTCTCCTTTTTGTTCAGGCCCACACAAGGCATGTCTTAATCACATCATCTTTACAAAAAACCACCTCTGGCTGTGTTGTTTTATCTTTAACTGATTTGTACTTTTATTGTTATTTCATTTCTTCTGCTTTCTTCAGGTTTAATCTGTTGCTCAGCATGGTTGGGAAAGATGCAAATGTCGTGTCTTTCTTTTTCATGCAATCTAGACAATTAAAATATATCCCATAAGTTTTCATCAGGTTCAAAATACTTTGTGATTTCATTGGTGATGTTTTCCTTGAGCTACGGGTTATTTAGAAAATAGGAAATAAAAAGGATGCCTTTTCTAAAGATAAAATGAAGTGAAATAAAAAGGATGCCTTTTTTATTTCATTTTCTTGCCTAATTGCCCTCCGAACTTCCGGGACTATGTTGAGAAGAAGTAGCAAAAGCGGGCATCTCTGCCTTGCTCCTGATCTTGGAGGAAAAGCTTTCACTCTTTCGGCATCTAGTACAGTGTTCACAGTGAATATTTTATATAGGACTTTTGTAACGCTGAGGTTGTTTCCTTCTGTTCCAAGGAGTTTGAGTGTTTTTGTCACGAAGGGAGCTGACTTTTGTCAGATGCTTTTAGTGCATCAATTGAGCCGATCATGTGGTTTTGTCCTTCATTTTGTTGATACCATACACTAAATTAGTTGATTTTCATTGATCGAAACTTCCTTGCATTCCACGAATAAATCCCACGTGGTCATGGGCCTTTCATGTGCTGTTGAACTCGGTGTGCTAGGCTTTTGTTGAATATGTATGCATAAATATTCTTTTGGGAAGTGTGTGTGTGTGTGTGTGTGTGTGTGTGTCTGTATGTTTCTGGTCCTAATTCTTCTTTAAATGTTTAGTAGAATTCTCCACTGAAGCCATCTAGTCCTGGGGTTTTCTATGTTGGGAGGTTGATGAATACTGGTTAAGTCTCCCTAAGAGTTGTCGAGATCTGCTAGCGGTTCCTCTTTGTTATTTGCAGGTTGGCTAAGCAGGTCGGGTTTTATCATGTAAGTGGCCGGTGGTCTTTAAAAAATCAAACCATGAAAATGACCCTTTTCCTGCATTCTTGTAGGCGGAATATCCTATGTTTTTCTCTTTCCACATTTACTTCTGGAGAATAGATTTTTTTTTTCAAGCGCCGGACCGCTTTCATTTTCCTAGAGATACTCGGAGGCTTTTGTTTTGTGATACGTTTTTCATTTTTTTTGGAGATTTAACTGATGTTTGTTTTGCTAAGTGCTTGTACAAGATTTCCTGTCTTTCTGGCTGGCTTATGTGAAAGATAGGCCTGTGCCATTTCATTTTCTCTATCCATGCGCCCTTTAAGGTTTTTGCCTCATAAAAGTGGGATGGGGAAGCATTTCCCCTTTTTGTATGTTACCTGGCAAGAAGGTAAGATTTGACATTCTTTCCTTCACAAATGTTTTGTAGAATTAATCGGTGGCGGCATCAGAGTCTGTAGGTTCTTTGTGGTGCCTGCTGTGTGTTTCCTTCAGATTCCGCCCGTTTAGAATTTGTAGGACAATTCAGATGTCTTAGTCTGTTTTCGTCATTTTGTTATCCAAAGTATCACATTTGTGGGCATAAAGCTGTTCATGATTTTGAATATGATCTCTTTAATATCTTCGTTGCCCATAGTGATGTTTTCTTAGCCACTCCAGACACTGGTTGCTTCATTATTTCTCTCCTTTTTTGTTTCAGGCCCACACAACCATGTCTTAATCACATCATCTTTTACAAAAAACCACCTCTGGCTGTTGTGTTTTTATCTTTTAACTGATTTGTACTTTTATTGTTATTTCATTTCTTTCTGCTTTCTCAGGTTTAATCTGTTGCTCAGCATGGTTGGGAAAGATGCAAATGTCGTGTCTTTCTTTTTCATGCATCTAGACAATTAAAATATATCCCATAAGTTTCATCAGGTTCAAAATACTTTGTGATTTCATTGGTGATGTTTTCCTTGAGCTACGGGTTTTTAGAAATAGGAAAAAAAGGATGCCTCTTTTCTAAAGATAAATGAAGTGAAATAAAAAGGATGCCTTTTTTATTTCATTTTCTTGCCTAATTGCCCTCCGAACTTCCGGACTCATGTTGAGAAGAAGTAGCAAAAGCGGCATCTCTGCCTTGCTCCTGATCTTGGAGGAAAGCCGTTTCCTCTTTCGGCATCTAGTACAGGTTCACCAGTGAGATATTTTATATAGGACTTTTGTACGCTGAGTTGTTTCCTTCTGTTCCAAGGATTTTGAGTGTTTTTGTCACGAAGGGAGCTGACTTTTGTCAGATGCTTTTAGTGCATCAATTGAGCCGATCATGTGGTTTTGTCTTCATTTTGTTGATACCCATACACTAAATTAGTTGATTTTCATTGATCGAAACTTCCTTGCATTCCACGATAAATCCCACGTGGGTCATGGGGCCTTTCATGTGCCTGTTGAACTCGGTGTGCTAGGCTTTTGTTTGAATATGTATTCGATAAATATTCTTTTGGGGAAGGTGT